GGTTACGGGGGTTCAGAGCCCACCCAGACGGGTGGGACCACCACCCACCGTGGGTTACTGGGTGTCAGAGCCCACCCAGACCTCCAGATCCACCACCCACCGTGGGTTACTGGGGGTCAGAGCCCACCCAGACCTCCAGATCCACCACCCACTGTGGGTTACTGGGGGTCAGAGCCCACCCAGACCCCTGGGTCCACCACCCACCATGTGTTAATGGATGGAGGAGGAGGAGGAGGAAGAGGAGGAGGAAGAGGTGAGAGGAGGAGAATGGAGGAGGGAGGAAGAGTAGAAGAAAGAGGAAAAGGAGGAGGAGGAAGAGGATGGCAATGGGGAATAGCTGGGAAAGGAAGAGAAAGGTGATGAAGATGACGAGGAGGAAGAGAAGAAAAGAAGAGCAGAAGGAAGACAAAGTCTAAGATAATGAAGAAATGGATGGATGAAGAGCAGAAAAATGACGATGATAAGAACAATGATGAGGATGAGAAGGAAGCTGGGAGGAAGAAAATGGATGGGGATGAGGATGAGGATGACGATGATGATGGAAACGATGGTGATGATGAAGAACAAGGAGAACCGTGAGGATGATGGTGACGAGGAAGAGATTGAGGAAAAGGATGAGGATGAAGAGGAGGAGAAGGAGGGGATTAACAAAAAGGACGAGGATGATGATGAGGAAGATCGTGTGAAAAATTATGACGAGGAAAAAATTGAGGAGATGAAGAACGAGAACGATGAAGATGATGATAACGAGAAAGAGAAGGAGGAGAAGAATGGTGAGGATGAGGATGAGGATGAAGATGTGGATAGTGATAAGGAGAAGGGTGGTGAGGGTGAGGATGATGAGGTTGACTAGGAAGATGTTGAGGCTGAAGACAATGAACTTGAGAAGGAGAATGAGGATGAGCATGGTGAAGATGAGAATGATGAAGTTGGGAAGGATGATAAGGATGAAAATGAAGTTGAGGAGGATGATGAAGATGAGAATGAGGAGGGTGAGGATGAGGACAATGAGGTTGAGGAGCAGGATGGTGAGGGTGAGGATGGGGAGGATGAAGATGTGGATGAGGACGAGGAGAAGGGTGGCGAACATGAGGATGATGAGGTAGACTATAAAGATGGTGAGGCTGAAGAAGAACTTGAGAAGGATGATGAGGATGATGAAGTTGAGCATGAGAACGGTGAAGGCAAGGATGATGAAGTTGAGGAGAAGAATGATGAAGATGAAGACGAGAAGGATGGCGAGGATGAGGAGGAGGACGAGGAGGAGGAGAATGAGGACGAGGACGAGGATGAGGACGAGGACGAGGACGAGGAGAATGAGGATGAGGATGAGGACGAGGATGAGGATGAGGACGAGGACGAGGAGGAGGAGGATGAGGATGAGGACAAAGATGAGGATGAGGAGGAAGATGAGGAGGATGAGGATAATGAGGATGAGGATGAGGACAAGGACGAGGAGGAGGAGCATGAGGACGAGGATGAGGATGAGGAAGAGGACGAGGAGGAGGAGGACGAGGATGAAGATCTGAGGGTCCGGCCTGAATGCTTGTAGGCTGCAACGAGCTCCCGCCGCCGCTCCGGCGGGG